GCGGTCCTGGTTGGTAGAAAAGGGCTGGCTTCGTCATAGCCTGGCACGCCAAGTGGATCCAGGTGTGTGGGGAGGGCCCTGGGTGGGGACTGGCTAGTGTGTAGGAGAGGAATCCAGGGACAGGGAGAAGGCAGGTGGGCAGCCGCAGCCGAGGCACTGGCCAGTCCAGATGTGAAGCAGGAAGTGAAGCTTCCTCTTCCCACTGTCACCTAGGTCCTCCTCCCTATACTTTGGGATCTTCACAGTCACAGCTCAAGAACAACCGGTAGACAGCCCTCTCCATGTGACCTGCGGCAGTAGGACTCCTTGAATCCGTAAACACCAGGCCCCAACTCGGCTGCTCTTCTCGCCTCTCTCCCCACTTTCCTTGGTGGGCTAAAAAGGATGGAAAAAAAACCTAAATAATGAATCCTAAGTAATGAAAATCGTCACATCCAAAAAGGGGGTGGCAGGCTGGCTCTGCGACATCACACTAACGTGCTGTTCAGGAGAAGCCAGATGGCACATGATCATCACGGTTCAAATTCCAGCCTGGTCAGCCTGGACCACATAGGGCATTCCCCTGGGTACCCAGGATCCCATGGGCTGGAGGACTAGAGGATGAGGACCGCAGTGTGACCAGACCCTTCGGAGAGTGCCCCTTCTCCCTAGTGCATACACACATGCTCTGCCATAAATGAAGATAAAACATCACTTTAAAAAGGAGGGGTTGAATAGTGGCACGGGGTAACACACAACCCCTCGACGAGACTGACCCGCACAAGAAGGTCCAGGGTTTACACCCCAGCATGTCCCTCTGCATATGCAGTGCTTCTGTGCTCAAGATTCAGGGCTGACTGCAGTGAACTGTTGTAGGTGGAACCCATTAGTGCTGTCTCTGTCTCTGTCTCTCTGCCACTCATGGAAGAAAGAAACTTAAAAAAAAAAAAAAAAGCCCCCCCCCCCCCCCAGAGAAATCGCTTTCTTTTAAACTCTTAAAGCCTTTAGAGTCTATACAATTTAGTGCTAAACTATTTCCTCCCAGGCCATTGTTTAGAGTTAACTGAGCCTCTCTCACTCCAGCAGAGCAAACACAGCAGTAGTGCCACACAGCTGGCCCGCCACCACCTTTTAGACAGCACGTAGTGCCACAGAGCCGGCCCGCCACCCCCTTTTTGAATGTGACTGTTTTTGTTACTTAGGATTCGCTATTTAGGTTTTCTCTATCCTTTTTAGCCCACCAAGGAGGGTGGAGAGAGAGGCAAGAAGAGCAGCGGAGTTGGGGCCTATTTTCCAAAGTACAGAGAATGCAGATTTTTTAGTAACATTTCTCCCCACCATTCCCTATTAATGTAACAACTTAAAAATACACTAAGCATGTTAACTGATGAAAACAAACTAGAGGGGTCAGCAGGTGGCATGGTGGTTAAAAGGCTGGACTCCCATATTTGACTGTGGTTCAAGTGCCAGACCTGGTGGCTTGAAAATCATGCTGGGAGCATGTGCGTGCACACTCTAAATCTTAGGAGGAGAATGGAGAAGAGATTGCTGTGTGGCTATTGCCCCCAGGGGAGAGATTTCTTACTTTCCCCCTCACTGTCTCTCTCTGGGAAGCACACGTGCCCTATGGCAAAACAAACAAACAAGAAGAACTAGGAATAGTTAAGTCTGTCATTACTGCCTGCCTCCAATATGTAGTATTTCTCAACAAGAATGCAGAATAGGGGCCAGCAGGTGGCATGGTGAAGGTGTTGAACTCCCGCATGGTTGACTGCAGTTTGAGTCCTGGATCCAGCGGCTTGAAATTGACACGGGGCACATGTGTCCAAAAAACCGAGAGAATGGAGAAGAGATTGAGGCATGGCCATACCCCTGGGGGATGATTTCTTGCTTTCTGTCCCTCCATCTCTGTCTCTCCAGTGAGTGAATGTATCCTACAGCAAAAATTTCTATCTTGAAAAAAAAAAAAAGAACAAAGAATAGGGACCAACCCAGTGGCCTGGTAATTAAGCCAGCTGGATCTCACATGACGGACTGCACGGTTCAAGTCCCAGGCCTGACCACTTGGAAAACATGCCAGGATGTATGCACCCATGTCCAAATCCCAACAGGAGAATGGAGAGAAGCAGATTGCACCACGGCTATCCCCCAGGGGCTGATTTCTCTCTCCCTCTCTCTCCAGCTTGCATACAAACCCTACAGCAAATAAATAAATAAATAAAAGCAGCAGAAGAATGAAGAAGAGACCCTTGGCATAGAGCAGCTTCTTTTGAATCACAAGAAACCCTAGCCTCATGATCCAGCTGCTACTAGAACCTGGGGGCTGGGAAAGTGTCTCTGGTTACAGGCTAGTCTAGAGGGCCATGGGAAATGGGTGGAGTTCAGGGTCTGCTGTCCAGAACAGCATGAGTGATGGCCCCCGAGGCCAAATGGAGAAGAGTTGGGTCTAGTTCTACAGGTGAGAACTCCACCAGCGCCTGCATCACCAATACCTGGGGGCTGCTCTCCCCACAGCATAGTGGGACATTGAGGTGACTCGCAGTAGCAAAGGAACGGCTCTGGAATTAGGGAGAGTGGGGGGCGGGGTAGAGAGGAAGTGGCCTCATGTTACCTCTCTGCTTGAGGTCAGTACTCTAGAGCACCTGGTAGCACCAGAAACTGCCGCCAGGACCTCAGCAGCAGTGGCTGAGACTGGCTCCTGGCAGAAACCAGGAATTCTGCAGGACCAGAGAGACACCGGAGAACCTGATGATGGGAACTCTTCTGTCCAGTTTGGTAGGAGCGAACTTTCCCACACCTGACACCAACTAGAATAAGCAGCAATCTTCTCCAAGGGGGCGCTATAACTCAGTAATTTTTAAAGTTACACCATTGCCTCTTCCTTAGGATCATCTTCTCTCCCCTCTCTTCACCTCCTACTCCCCTGCTCCCACAGTCAAGTCAATATAAACTAGGGTTTGCTCTTGAAGCCTAACTGGGCTTGAGCTCAGAGACATCTCTCTGGGCACTCGGCTTCTCTATTCTGAACCTGTCCAAAACATTGGAGCAGGGGCTAGAATAGGTGCAGGTGCATCACAGCTACTTGTGCCTGCAAAGCCCTTGTCTTGAACTCTCCGTGAACAGTGGGAAAATAGTTCCACACAAATTTTCTCCTTCTTCTTCTTCTTCTTCTCCTCCTCCTCTTCCTCCTCCTCCTCCTCCTTCTCCTCCTCCTCCTCCTCCTCCTCCTTCTTCTTCTTCTTTTCTTCTTTTTAAGAAAGATTTTTGTTATAGGGCACATACTCTTGCCAGAGAGACAGAGAGACAGAAAGCAAGAAATCAACCCCCAGGGTGGCTGTGCCGCATCCCTTTTCTTTCATTCTATTCTAGAGAGTTTGGGCACACACACACACGCCACGCATGAGTCTCAAGCCGCTGGGTCCAGAACTCAAACTGTGGCCGGCTTGTGGGATCCAGCGATGTAACCATTATGCCATCTGCTGGTCCCCAAATTTTCTATTTTCTTATCCCATCTGCAAATCTTTCCTTCAAAGAACATTCCTCAGGAGGGAAGGAGAAGGACAGGTACAACAGAGCTCCCCTCAGGTTGTATTCATTTAGACTGGGATTTAAAACAACTTTTTTCCTTTGCCAAAGGGCACATGGCAGAGGGGACTCACTGGAGAGAAAGAGAGACAGAGAGAGAAGGAAAGTGAGAAATCCTCCCCCCCCCCCCCAGGAGATGCTGGCCACGCGGTGATCTCTTCTCCTTCATTCTCCTCCCAGGATGTGGGCACACCCACACACACCTGGTGTGTTTTTCAGTCTTGCTGGGTCCAGGATGCAAACTGCCGAGTCTGGCATGTGGTATCCAGTGTCTTAACCACCACACCACCTGCTGGCCCCCGGATTGGAATTTAATGTCCCCTCCAACTCTAAAGCATCTGTGATGTGTCACTACACCAGATGTCACCTGGGTCTTCCTATCCTTCATATTTAGTTACGAAGTGACTCATTGGTGCTATCAAATAGACCCCTGGCTTCAGTTTCTGCCCCTTCGGCAAGGACGGAGGAGAGCAGATAGACCGCACCGTGTAGCACTGTGGAGAGAGTCCCACCCTGCTCTGGGAGTGGCTGGTGTGATCCAGGTCCAGCCCAGCTTCCGCAGAGCCCAGGGTCCTCCGAGATCACAGACCTCTGCCCTCGCTTCTCTTCTCCCCATTCCCTCCCCCCAGAAATGGTTTCAGAACTCCACGTTTTTATCTGGATCTGGCAGTCAGCTAGTCTTCAGTCTTTCTCGGTTACTCCCAAGTGACTCTGAGGTCCGAACTGACCCGTTTAAATCCCTTCTCTTGTAGCCAGTCGGCCTTTTATTACCAGAACACCTTCTCAAACAGCCGATGCTGTTGGGAACTGCAATCCCCCCCACCCCCCACCACCGCCCTACATGTTTTAACTAATTCCTTTACTGGTAAGCAAGTTAAATTTAAAAAAGAAAAGCGAGTGTAGGTTTTGACATCAGCAGTGACTGGGTTTGGGAGCGGCCGGAGCTGGGGGTTTTTTTTTTGGGGGGCGGCCAGAGGCCGCGTTGGCCCGGGGGCTGCGCGCACCTGACACGTGCATACCTAGTGGCGCCCCCAGCCGGGAGAGCGCCTAGGACGACCGACCGTCCTGTGGAGACCCCTGGGATTGGCCCAAAGGACCCGTCTGTTGGAGAGCCTAGGCCCCCACCACGTCCCATTCCCAGGAACGAGGGTGCTCCGGATCCCGAGCCCTTCGGACACCCTGATCCCCCTCCTAGGTCAGCGAGTCCACAGCCTTCCCCCC